TCCCCAATTCACATTCCCATCAGCAAAACATTCCTCTTGCTTTATATTTTCGCCACTACCTGACAATATGAGACTTTTTAATGTTTGTCACTCTGTAAGTGACAAACATTGAATCTCCTAATTATACAGGTTCATAACAACACTTTAAAACACCTCGTTCCAAGGATTGTAACTGATTCAGGAGCATGAGTGCTTTGGAATATGCTTATTTTCCCTTCACCTGTTTTGTCAGCAAGTCTGGAAGATATGAGTGACAAACAAAAAGCAAAGGCACCCCAGAGAAATTTCAGAGGAGCCAGAATAGAGGAGAAGCTGTTTTTGAAGGCAGTCTCGTCTAGAAAACAATGACGAGAAGTGCCCTACCCTCTGTAAACCTGTTGGGAAGATGATGCACAGTTCAGGAAGCAGACAGCCAGAAAGCAATGGAGCCGTCATCACACTCAGCGGACTGCTGCAGCACCACCACACAGATGAGAGCTGCTTCTGAGTGAGGAAGCAGGCTTCCCTCTACATCTGAGAATTACACATGTCATACCCTCACTTTCATGAGATAAACATGTTTCAAATATCTGCATAGATAAGAAGCTTCTGGGAAGACAGTAGCATAAGGAAGCACCAGGAATCTGTCTCCCTACTTACACACAAATGCATAGGTAGCACTTGTCTGATGTCACGTTTTGGGAACTCTGGAGTCTACTGAAGGCTTGTACCTTCCAGGGCAAGGCTTGGAACATACACTGCAGTTAATTTCAGTCCATTTCAGCTTTTAGCACAGTAGCAGCTGCTCCTCTGAGTACATAACTACCTCTGACATCCTTATCCTCCTGTACAACTGTCAGAAATAATTTAGATTCTTTACACTACCTCGGCAAGTATTAATAACTTTATTTTATCCATTTCTTTGATTAAAAATCAAATGTTGATAGGTTAAGGGATTTCCCCAAGGTTATATAACAGGCCTAATCTTGGTTCTCTTACCATCACTATGCTTCATCAATTCTAGGAAGTACTTTTTAAAATATTTTAACATCTCAGAAATTGAGACCCATTTTACATGTCATAGTTTCATTGACAGTTTATTAAATTTTTCTCAGTAACAAAAAATAATATATCTTTAACAATCAGCAGCATCTTAAATATGCTGAAACACAGTTTTACCTGGGCAAAAGCCCAGCAGGAAGCAACTAGGGTTGCTCGGCAGACAGGGCAATGTCAGAGTCCACATACTCGACTTGACCCTTCCTTTGCAGCCCATCTGCTCTTACTATTGACACTGATTAGCTGCCAAGCCCACAGGAATTAAAAGCAGTAAAGACCTAAACAGAGCCGAGAGAGGCTGGCACATGACAGCACAGAAAAAAGGCAGCTGAAGGCACTTGAGAAAATGTCACAGCAGACAGAGAACTGCCAGGACCACAGTCGGAAGCAGTGGTTCCAAAACCAGATTCTCGTATGAAGTGAAATAAAACGATGCTGTGGTGAATTTGGGGACACCAGGTCAAAGCAAACAGGTTTCTTAGTTGTGGCACTTTTTGGCATCACAAAGATGTAATGTGAAAATAACTTTTTTTTTTGAGTCGGAGTCTCACTCTCGCCCAGACTATAGAGTGCAGGGGCATGCTCACAGTCACTGCAGCCTCGACCTGCTGGGCTCAGGCAAATCCTTTCGCCTCAGCCTTCCAAGTAGCTGGAATCACAGGTGTGCACTACCATGCCTGGCTAATTTGTTTTAAAATATATTTTAATTTTTTTTTTTTAGAGACGAGGTCTCATCAAGTTGTCCAGGCTGGTCTCAAACCCATGGGCTCAGGCAATCCTCTAGCTTCTGCCTCCCAAAGTGCTGGGACTACAGGCGTGAGCCCACGCCCAGCCTAATTTTTTTAATTGATTGTAAAGACAAGATCTCACCAAGTTGCCTAGGCTGGTCTTGAACCCCTGGGCTCAGGCAATTCTCTCGCCTCTACTTTCCAAAGTGCTGGGACGATAGGCATGACCAACTATACCCAGCTGAAAATAATAACTTTAAAACAGACAGGTCAGGCTACCTGCTATTTACCACTTTGCTGGTCTAATCTACTGAATTTTACCTTTGAACCACAATAGCCACCAATCCCATAAAATACTTACTACTCCTTTAGAAAGATAGTTATTGACAAAGTCCTTCCACGTAATTTCTCTCCCAGAGCTCCTGAACAGGAAGTAAAACATGACTCCACCCCAGAACAGAGCAGTCCAGAGGAAGTACATCCTGAAATCCTTGTCGTCCCATGGAAAGTCACCCTGGGCAAAGGAGAAAGTGGCTGTGAAGATGAAATTCCATAGCAGGACCTACATTCTGTGAGACACACATGTCTCCCAACACTAACAAGGCCTCCCGACCTTTCCCGGGGCCACCGCTATAACCTCAAGATCAACACGCTGTGTGGAACCAAACCTTCTGGAATCGGGACCACCAGTGAGAATCATCTTTCTTGCCACTTCGTTTCCCACCACCTCCACCTCCTCCTCCAGAAGAGCGCGGGGTAGCAGCTGGTTTTGATTCTGTTCCTAAACAAAGATCATACAACAGGGTTTTATCTCTCTCAGCAACATTTTCACTTATACAGTTTAATTTAATTAAAGACTTACTGCAAGATACATTATGGCAACTAATCCCATTACTAAGTAAAACACCATGAGAAAGAATACCGGGCCGGGCTCAGTGGCTCAGTATGTAATCCCAGCACTTTGGGAGGCTGAGGTGAGTGGATTGCCCGAGCCTGTGGGTTTGAGACCCACCCGGGCAACTTGGTGAGACCTCGTCTCTACAATAAATCAAAAATTATCCAGGCGTGGTAGCACACGCCTGTAGTTCCAGCTACTTGGAAGGCTGAGGCAGAAGGATAGCTGGAGTCCAGCAGGTTGAGGCTGCGGTGGCCGGGAACGTGCCACTGCACTCCAGCCTGGGCGACAGAGTGAGACTCCAACTCAAAAAAAGAACACTGAAACAAAGCACTAACACTCCATGAAGCTTGCAAGTGCTTTACCCACATCATATCATGAAACATACACAGTGGCCCAATAACCTGAGAAGTATATTACTTACACCCATTTTACAGAGGAAGAAACGTGGCTTAAGTAACTTGTTGGACAACTTATGGCAGTGTTAGGGAACGGAGTTGGGATGCAAAGTCCTCAGTACCCACTCAAAGTTAAAAAGTAAGTGTTCCATTTTCCACGCCCATGAAGTAGACATCGTTAATCATGTCTCCTGTAGGAAAGTTATGATTCTGACACATGGCTAAAAAAACACCCACCCACATAAAACTAGTTTGCAAGAATTCAAAATTAGTCACTGTTAGGGGTTGAACTGTGTCCCTTAAAAATTCCATGTTGAAGTCCTAACGCCTGGTACCTGAGGATATGATTGTCCCTGGAAACAGAGTCTTCACAGAGGTAACTGAGTCAAAATAAGGTTATCAGGGTGAGCCCTAATCCAACAGAATTTGTGTCCTTATAAAAAGGGGACATTTGAACATAGACACATGTAGAGCAAAGATGACAGGAAGAGACACAGGGAAAAGACAGCATTCACAGGCCTGGAACAGATCCTTCCCTCCAGGCTCTCAGGAGCCAATCTGATGATGCATTGATTTTGGATTCCTAGACTCCACAACGAGGAGACTATATGTTTGTTACAGCAGCCCTAGCAAACGAATGCATTCACTAATGCTAACATCCTCCTTTCCTTGGTTACCTCTCTCTCTCTCCAAGATCATCAAACACAATTCTAACTTCTCTAGCAACCATGAGGCCCCTCTAGTGGGCAGGATGGGGGGCTGCAAGCACCTGGTCATCCTCAGTGGCAACAGGACCTGCGACTTCACAGCACGTTCACCACACTATGCTGCATTCAAGGAGGTTCTAGGCCTCTGTGTTATGCGAAGCAGAGTTTGAGACAGGCATGATGTGCACAAGCCTTAACCTTACCCAATGAGACACAGGACTGGGAAACATAAAATAAGCACACTGCTGAAGTTGACAATATTCCACACTACTCGAGGAGACAATAACACATAGGCAAAAGGTACCCAGCAGATTGTATGTATAAACCAGGACTGTTATCATGAATCTGACTCCAAACAAAAACTCAAAGACTATCTAACATGTCCTGGAAAAACTCTGTAGCCACTGCTCCTATCCAGAAACTTGGGGTATACTCAGGACACACCAGCACTTCGCCCTCCTCTGTCCCCTGGCCTGGCTTTTTACTCCTTTGCATTCTTTGAGCTTGAATTTGTCACCCCAATTAGATGGCAAGTTCACTTAAAAACAAAGGCTGAAACCAGATGTGAGGGCTCATATCTATAATCCCAGCAAGTTGGGCGGCTGAGGCAGGAAGATCACTTGAGCCCAGGAGATTGAGACCAGCCTGGGCAACACAGTGAGACTCCATCTCTACAAAAATGAAAATTAAAAAATTAGCCAGGCATGATGGCGTGTGCCTGTAGTCCCTGCTACTCCAGAGGTTGACCCAGGAAGGTGGCTAGGATCCAGAAGTTTGAGGCCACAGTGAGCTATGGTGGTGCCACTGCACTCTAGCCTAGGCAACAGAGCAAGACCCTGTCTCTAAAAAATAAAAAATTTAAAAAATTTTAAAAACAAAAGGGCTTGGGGATGGTGGCTTACACCTGTAATCCCAGCATTCTGGGAGACCAAGGTAGGAGGACTGCTTGGGCCCAGGAGTTTAAGACCAGCCTAGACAACATAGCAAGACCTTGTCTCTACAAAAAATAAAAAATTAGCTGAGTGTGGTGGCTGGTGTCTGTCTGCTTGTAGTACCAGCTGCTTGGGAGGCTGAGGTGGAAGAATCACTTGATACCAGGAGTTTGAGGCTGCAGTAAGCCGTGAACGCACTGCACTACAGCATGGGTGACAGAGTGAAATCACCAACTCAAAAAAAAGGGGGGGCCCTGAATTATAATTTTCCTTACATTTCCCTAAAAAGAAAAGGATGCCAGTTAAGTGTCAACAGGTGTGAGGCATTATGCTAAATGCTATCACCCTCGTGAAATGGGAGCCAGGAGGCTGAGAGCCCACACAGTCCCCCCTGCCACCCAGCTCTAAGAAGCCCTCTCTGAATTCCTAACATAAGGTAAGGCTCCGAGAAACCACTTTAGACACTGCGCTAACCACAATATATATCAATAGGTTTCTCCCTCAAGAGTTTACATTATGTGTCAGATATCCACACGATACACTTAGTCTGATCAGTCAGTAACTCTAAGGTGACCTTAAATTACTTCAGTCTGAAAAATGATGGGAAAATAAGAACAGAAAAGTAAGGTGAAACATATGGTAGGTAGAATGTTATATGTACTTGTACCCTCCAGTTTCAGAACTGACTTCTGATAACTCTTTCTTTGTTCAGTGGAAACTACCATCATCATATACTAAGGAAAAGTAATAAATTCAAACATAATCTTTTTTAAAAGTACCTTTTTTCTCTCCCATAACTTCTTTAGGTTCACTAGCTTTTTTCCCATTTTTTCCATTAGGAAAATATTTTTCAAATCCTGTTAGAAAAGAAAAAAATACATGCCCTCAGACTAAAATTAAACAGGTTTTGTGTTCATTTGTTTTTGAAGCATTTGATACATCTTTAAAAAATCATTTAAAAAGTAAGCTAAAAGTATAACATTTCTTGTGCACACATACATCAGTCTAAATAATATAGTTCACAATTCAGAAGTGTTAAAAGAAAAAAATTCTCCTTTGCATACCAATTTCATTATCTATATTATATTTGAAGGTGACATATTTTCATCACTGTAATCGGAGAGAAGCTGGAGGTAGGGGGATGGGTTACAGGAGACAGAAGAGTCCACTGGAAACTAAACTGTGCACTTGCTGAAACACGTCTCTTTGACAAGAATGTATAACATGACAGTCACACCTAAGCACTTACCTTTTGGAGGTCGAGAACAGAACCTTTGATAAGCAGCAATCACATCTGTCAAAAGAGAACTTCTGTTGGCTACTGCCTGAGTTGTAGCATATCCATAAAGCTGCAACATGCCATAAAAATAAAAGCAGGGAGGTTGTGTCAAGATAAAACATTTGAAGAGCTTCATTTCCTAATGATAAAGCAGATGAAATGTCTCTTCCTTCCACAAGTGGTTATAAATTAACACATATCAACTCCTTTTCAGGGAGGAGTAGGATTATCTGGCACTATGCCACTCTATTCCAGCAAAAGAACCAGGATAGATACCTTAATATCCAGAAGACAATAATACTTCAAAGTCAGATAATTTAGAATTATAGTCCAATTATAATTATTTGGCAACACATTCAATGTAATGTTTATTTAATCTGCAGCATTCAAAAGACAAACCCTGATGCAATTTGCTGCTTCATGCTGACTCAATTGCAAGGTCTGTAATATTGCAAGATATTTACCTGAAATTACAGACCAGTGTTGCTTGTAAACATAATAATAAATTTATCTTAGTTCAATAATAAGAAAGTTATGCCTCATCACCATGGATAATCTCTTTTACCAGCAACATTTGCTAAAGATACTTGCTATATTGCCATCCTGGTGAGAATCACAGTGATATAGTCCCATTACAGATGCATCTCTGCTTATGTAACATATGTTGTTTGGAAACACAGTATAGGTAAATGATAATATAAACAAAGAAGCTCCCCAATTAAATTTTTAGTTGCACAATTAAAAGCAATCAATGCCAGGCCAGGCGCAGTGGCTCAAGCCTGCAATCTCAGCACTTTGGGAGGCCAAGGTGAGAGGATTGCCTGAGCTCAGGGGTTCAAGATCAGCCTGGGCAACTTGGTGAGAACTCGTCTCTACAATAAATCAAAAAATAAACCAGTCGTGGTAGTGCACACCTGTAGTTCCAGCTATTTGGAAGGTTGAGGCGAAAGAATTGCTTGAACCCAGCAGATTAAGACTGCAGTGGCCGTGAGCGTGCCACTGCACTCCAGACTGAGCGCCGGGTGTGGTAGCACACACCTGTAGTTCAAGCTATTTGGAAGATTGAAGCAGAAGGATTGTTGAGCCCAGCAGTTCAAGGCTGAGGTGGCTATGAGCTTGCCACTACACTCCAGCCTGGACAACAAAGTGAGACTCCAACTCAAAAAAAAAGCAATCAATGTCAAGGGGCATAGAGGGGACATATCCAAATCAGGCAGTGGAAAATGTTCGAGTTTTCCTATCCTTTTGCAAAGTGAAAATGCGTCACCACGGAGGGGGTAGGGGGCAAGCTTTTAAATTCAGACAGGAATGTTTAAAGTGAAGTGCATCTGCATTGGCATCCATTCAGCATTTGTCTCTTTTATTGTCTGATAAGAAAAACATCACGAAACCAAATAAAACCATTTCATACCCACTACATGCAAAACACCAGACAAATGTTGGTAGGATGTGGAGAAACCGGAGCCCTTGTGTACTGTGCTGGTGAGAATGTAAAATGGTACAGCTATTTTGGAAAATAGTTTAGCAGATCCCCCAAAATGGCAAATGTAGCGTTACTATGACCCAGCAATGCCACTCCTACCCAAGAAAACTGAAAACCTATGTCTACACAAAAGCTTGTACACAAATGTTCACAGCAGCATAAATCATAGAGCCAAAAGGGGGAACAACCCAATCTCCATCACCTGATAATGAACGCAGAAATACAAGGTGGTAGTATACCCATACAAACAGAAGACTGGTCAGGCTCAGTCTGCACTCCCAGCACTTTGGGAAGCCGAGGTGAGTGGATTGCCTGAGCCCACGGGTTCAAGACCAGCCTGGGCAACATGGTGAGACCTCATCTCCACAATAAATCAACAAATTAGCCAGGCATGGTAGTGCATACCTGTAGTTCCAGCTACTTGGAAGGCTGAGGCAGAAGGATCGCCAGTGCTCAGCAGGTCGACGCTGGGGTGGCCGTGAGCATGCCATTGCACTCCAGTCTGGGCAACGGAGTAAGACTCCAACTCAAAAAAAGCCCCAAAAAACAAAAATGGAAGACTATTCACCCATAAAAAGGAATCAAGAGCTAATGCATGGATGAACATTAAAAACATGTTAAACAAAAGAAGCCAGACATATACTATAGAGTTCCATTTATATGAAAAGTCTAGAATAAGCAAATTCCAAGAGAAAAGATCAGTAGTTGCCTAGGGCTGAGAGGATGAATAGGGAGAAATGACAAGTGCTTATGGTTTCAGGGATTTCTTTCGGAGTGATGAAAATGTTCTGTAGGTTGGGCGCTGTAGTGCGTGCCTGCAGTTCCAGCTACTTGGAAACCTGAGGCAGAAGAATCACTTGAGCCCAGCAGGTCAAGGCCCAGCAGTGGTGGCCATGATCATGCCACTGCACTCCAGCCTGGGCAACAGAGACTCCAACTCAAAAAAAAAAAAAAATGTTCTGGAACTAGGAATAGTGATGATGGTTGGACAACCTTGTGAATATGTTAAACCACTGAACTGCATACTTTCAAATAATTTTTTTTTTTGAGTTGGAGTCTCACTCTGTCACCCAGATTGGAGTGCAGTGGCATGCTCCCAGTCACTGCAGCCTCGACCTGCTGGGCTCCGGCGATCCTTCTGCCTCAGCCTTCCAAGTAGCTGGAACTACAGGCGCAAGCGGCTAATTTTTGATTTATTGTGGAGATGAGGTCTCGCCAAGTTGCCCAGGTGGGTCTCGAACCCGCGGGTTCAGGCAATTCACTCACCCCAGCCTCCCAAAGCACGGGATTACAGGTTGAGCCACCGAGCCCAGCTTCAAATGATTTTTATGGTGCATGAATAAAAATGTCAATAACAAAAAATGAGCTGATTAACTTCAATAAACATACAACTCTACATAGCAAAACAGGGCAGAACCACTGACACCATTTTTGGCTGACCACAATGCTGGTCTGAGAAAATCTGGAGCTTATGTTGTATGACATACCTCAGTACTGGAATACCTGGCCACTGATAATGGATAAGAATGAATCATAAGTGAGTAGTTTTTTGCAGTGCTAAATCCATTAGGGGTATAGATTAAAATGAAATATTATTCAAGCTAATAGACAAGTCAACAAATCACACATGGAGCACCTACTCCAGAACAGGTGCTGCCAAGCAGCAGGGAGTCCAAAGGCAATCAGAACCAGTCTCCACCCTTAAATTCAGAAGCCTAAGAAAGAAAGTCCAAGGATCAAAGCAGTTACGATGTGATATAACTGCAACCATACAAAAGCTGTAAGTTACAGCACAGAGGTAATATGAAGGGTTCTTTATTCTTTACACCAGGTGCCATGACTCATGTCTATAATCCCAGCACTTTGGGAGGCCAAGACAGGAGGATCACTTGAGGTCAAGAGTTCCAGACCAGCCTGAACAACATAGTGAGATCTCATCTCTACAATTTTTTTTTTAATTTAAAAGAAGCGTTCTCCCTTCCCAAAATCTGACAGCAAGCATTTTTGAGGCCTGTGGTGTAGCAGACTGAGTTTTTAAAAACTTCTTTTCCATTTTAATTAAATAGCATCTCTCCATTTATTCAGGTGTTTTTGGCTTTGAGTGTACTGTTTGGTCCTCATCTTTGTTAAGGCTAAAAGAGGAAGGAATGAGTAATTTTAAGTTGGAAATCTCCTAAAAGACAAACTACTTCAGTGGGTAAAAGTTTTGACATTTTACATTTTACTCATAAAAGGGGTTAATTACTTGCTACGAAGAGGTTCAGTCTTAATATTTTCATCTTCAGTTTGAAAATATCTGTAACTGCTATAGACCTTCTGGGAAGAGAGGTTTCCTTTCTGTCCCGTTTGCTTTGCTTTGTATGACCACATGTTTTCTGTACCAGTCATTTGGGAAAGAAGTGAGCTTATCTCTTGTTTTAGAGTTTTGCTTGTCCACTTAGCATTCCTTTTGGGGTCTCAAGATTTATGGAACAATAAATGTCATTTACCACTGTGTGCTATTTTGGATTCCTCATCAGATTTTAGAAGTGGGGTAAAAATACTTAGGAGCTCATCAAACTTGAAATTATACTGAGTGGCATTGATATGAGTCTGTCCCAGTGAAACAGGTTAAATAAATTATGGCACCAGCAAATTTGTTACTTTGGTTTTTTAATAGTAGGATGTACACATTTCAGTATAATAAATGTTTTCCGATTGTTTTGCAAAAATTTTTTAAAAAAAATAAATAATAAAAGAAGGGTTCTCTATATACCCATATACCTTAGTCCTCTTGTGTTGATATAACAGAATATCTACAGCTGGGTAATTTATAAAGAGGCTTATTTTTAGGTCCCCTGCAAGCTGGGAAGTACAAGAAACATGGCATCAGGCTTCTGGTGAGGCCTATTTACCAGGTCCAGACAAGGAGAAGCAAACACATGCGACAAAAGAGGAGAAATCTTGTTTTATAACAGCCTACCATTGCTGAAACCACCATGCTCACCACAGGGAGAACTCCTTTCCTACCCTCAGATGGCACCAGGCCCCCCCAAGACCCAATCACCTCCTACTAGGCCCCACCTCCCAACTCCACCACACTGGGGATCAAAGTACAACATGAGTTTTGCTAGGGACAAGCTCAAACCATACCCAAACCTTACAGCAATGTGAAGCAAGGCTTTATATCGCCACAAAGTTCAGCACAGAACTGGGTCTACTGTATGCACTCCGCAAAAGTTTGTAAGGAGCCCTTTTTAGGCTCTACTTTCAAACTGTGTTGATGTGTAAACCCTTAGCAACAATTCCTGACTGCACTTAACACTGAGATTGTTTTCAATAAAGGAATCATCAATGAAACCTTGTCTCCTCTGCATAGCTAATCCAAGCCTTGGGTGTCTCTCATTCGAACAATGAGAGGAGATACCGATTCCCAAAATTTAAGCTTAGAGCACCCCACCTTTTAGAGAATTGGCTTCTACGTTTGAGAAAAGGAGCACTTTTCAGTCTCCTTCTCATCAGTCTTATTCTTCTGGGCCTATCGGAGAAGCCATCAAACCCTTTTCCCCAGGAATCTCGTTGGGAGCACAGAACTTCGTCTGGGCTAACAGAAGTAC